ATTTCTTACACTATTTATATTTTGATTATACAACATTATTGTTCAGTTTTTCCACTTCTATATAAACTGGAATTGACGCTCCCTGAATATCTTACCCCGTTGCCTTATTCTCTCTATTGTTTTCTTTCCTTTAGAGAAGTTGCTGGTCAATTGATTCGGAATGAACCGGTAAACCCGGAGAGCTATGATGCAGTTACCATATACTTTAGTGACATTTGCGGCTTTACTTCCTTGTCTGCTGAGTCGACAGCTATGCAGGTAATCCTAGGCTTAAATACTGCAGTGGATGATTGTTTTTATATCATACTCACATCCAACATGACTGGTATGTTTATTTTTTCGACCATTATTGCATTATCAGCTTGAATTATTAGACTCCGTATTGCCCAATGTCCCATTCTAAACCCTAAAAGTACAATTTAAACTAAGAATAATTACCAAAATTAAAACGATAAAAATATAATCAATGGATCTCATTCTCAAGATTTTTCCTTCCCATTATCACCCAAGCTACTATTATATTGGCATTATTAATAAATTATTCTTCTCTTTCATTCACTGCTAATAAAAGATTAACTGTTGCATCGACTGACTTTTTACTTTTCTACAGATAGTCAATCTGCTGAACCATCTTTACACTTTGTTCGACGGGATCATTGAACACTACGAGGTTTACAAAGTGGAGACGATTGGAGACGCCTACATGGTCGCCTCTGGCCTACCAAAGCGGATAGAAAACCGACACGCTGAGGAAATAGCCCGAATGTCTATTGCTTTTCTCAAGGCTATCTACAAATTCGAGATACCACATCGTAAGGACAGACGGCTTGAGCTGCGAATCGGCATTCATTCTGGTAAGCTTAACTTTAATTATTTCCTAAGAAAATTCTTTAATCACCTGAATCACTTGGGAAATCCTTTTTTACGTTTTTAGGCTCATAAGCTCTTGATAATCTTGTGATTACTAGAAAATGTTAAGTAGTTTCATGTATCAACACAATTCCCTTCAGCTGTTCCACAATGATCTGGCAAATGGTGCGAGTTCATCTAAGGCTTATGCTAAGCCGACTAAATGCAAGTCACTTTCTCTACCAAGGTTTCTACTATTGAGATCATTCTATTCCTTGGGCCAATATTGTGCAAAATAGTTGAACCAGAAAATTCTACAAAGTGCATTTTATATGTTCATGCAGCATGCCACACTCCAAATACAATCGTGTGATGAATACAGGCTCTTAATTTTTGACGGCTAATCTAACTTTCCATTATTTCCAAAAGGCTACAACTATCAGCTTGGTTGGCAAAAGAGAAATTGTTTATAATCTATAGTTATAATTTATAAAATGTGTTGCCTATTAATAAAACTTCCAACTACGTATGATAAGGTAAGGCCTTTTGCACCACTTCTGGGGAAATAAATTTTACAAGAACAAAGTCTCAATCTAGAGAAACTTATTTCTAGCACCTGAAGTGCACATTTTGGATAGAAACTCATATATTATTTGATGACATCGATAGGCTCGTTCTAAGTGTGAATTTGGAGTGGGATTAAATGGAGCTGGTTTGCTGTAAATGACACCAAATACCTAAGTGCAGATTTGACAATTTTTATTAATTTTGCCTTACCAGTGCCATTTGTTTTTTATGCTTTTCTTATGGCTATCGCTCGAAAATTTACGTTTCGAAATACCCTTAAAACTCATCCTTAATGACCTTATAGACTCAAATGTAATCACCTGCTGCCACTATTATTATTTTTACGAATAAACACTTACACACGCTTACATGCAACTAATGATTAACGTTGCTTGAATGTCTATACCCCAACTCCATTTCATCTAGGCCCTGTGTGTGCTGGAGTAGTTGGTTCAAAGATGCCTCGATACTGTCTCTTTGGTGACACCGTTAACACTTCTTCTCGAATGGAAAGTACTGGTTTGCGTAAGTTTATCACTAATAATCATGAATTTTTTTGTGCGCATTGTGTAACTTTTCTTATTTTCGACATTATATTATTCGTTATATGAGATGTATACT